AATCTCAGGAGTAGGCTCAATGGCAATTGGGTTCCTTTTGGCAAATCTAGGTAGATAAGGAAATTTTAGAGAAAAGTCCCTCTCTGTGCTTGGGGTCAGCAAGGGGAACAGGGAAGGCTGGAGAGGCACTGACTCTAAGACAGCTTCGAAGTCTTCCAGTTTCCTTTCACTGAAAGTGCTCAGTATGTCAAAGCATCACAGTTTGGGGTATTGCTTGTTGTGCCTCAACATTAATTATAGCAAAATGAGCCGTCAAGGAAGTTCCACAGGTGTAGGTGCCTTTTTGGAGCAATCCTTTCCTATCCTCAGACATCCTGTTTCCATCACAGGAATGTTAAATTAGGGCCTTTTTTTTTCTTGTTTGAATTCCGCCAGGTAAGTAGTTCTAGAGTCTTCATTTGTTCTACATGGTCTGAGCACTTACAGACCTGCCCTCAAGGAAGCCGCCCTCTCCCAATGCCTGTGGACTGATGTCTGCTTGCTTTGAGCAAAGATGCTTTCTCCTTCTTTTGCATCTCAGAATGCAAAGTCCCACTTTCCAGGTGCACTACTCTACTTTCCCTTCCTCCTCTCAGTAGGTATTTTAAAGGGCCTAATTCTTAAATCCAGTGTAATGTAGGGAATCAGGCCAGCTCTCTACCCTTGATTTCAGGATGACAAATTAACAATGAAAAACACAAGACAAACGTGAGCTATAATTCTCTGTGACACTGAGTCCAAATGTCCTTCAGAAATTGATGAGAGAAATGTGGTCCCAGAGACATGAGAAGTAACAGCCGTGCTGCTGTGTGATGCCCTGTCATGACATTGGCTCTGCACGGCGTTTCACATACTCTCTAACCAACTGCTCTCAGCTGAGACTTCCCTTGTCAGGTAGTGAACTCCCCTAGACCCGAACCGTGCCTGGACATTTCCAGAGCCGAGCACAGAGGCCATTCGACGTAGATATTTAAAGCACATGTATTGAATTTATTAATTCATTTTTTCAGAGCAGGAATACTCGGGAAAAAAAGAGTACATTCTTTTGCTTTTACAACAGCAACTCATTAACATGGCACTTTTTGGAAACCAGTTAATAAATTTTTAATCTAGACTCTAGAAAATTAAAGAAAGAAAGAGTGCTAAATAGAAATATAATGAGGATCCTAAAATTCCACATAATGGAAGAAAATTTAAATTAATAGTATTCTTTTCCAGAAATGCATTTCTTCATGAAATAACAGCAAATAGAAAAAAGTGCCCAAATCATGCTGTACTTTGGATCTTAACTGTCTCCCAAAGGTCCGTGTGTTAAAGGCTGACTTCCTGGCTTGGGGCTATTGGGATGGTGGAACAATCAGGAGGTGGGACTAGGGGATGTCTTAGGTCACTGGGGGTGTGGCTTAGAAGGGAACTCTAGGCCTCTGTACTCTTCTGCCCTAGCTCTTTTACTTCTCACCATGAGGTGCTATCTTCCTCAGCCACATGCTCTGACCATGATGTGTTGTCTTGCTATAGGACCAAAGGCAATGTGCCAAGCAACCATGGACTGAAATCTCCAAAAGTGTGAGCCAAGACAAATCCTTCCTCTTCTTAAGTTATTATCTCAGGCATTTTGTTACAGTAACAGAAAACTAACACAGATCATGTCTATGCATGTTGATGAATTTTCAAAATGAGCCATCTTTAGGGGACTATGCTCAGATCAAGAAACCAAACTTTCCCAGTATAGTATTCTAAAAGTCTCCTTTGGAGAATCTCCATGTACTTCCACTACAAAGATAGCTCTCATAATTTTTTTCTCCTCCTCCTCCTCCACCACCTCCTCCTCCTCTTCCTCCTCCTTCCTTTTCCTTTCCTCTCCACCCTCCTTTCCTTCCCCTCTGTGGTACTAGGGATTGAACCTAGGGCTTTCACACTGAGCTAAATCCCTATCCCTTTTTAAAGTTTTATTTTGAGACATGGTCTTGCTAAGTTGCCTAAGCTGAGGTCAAACTTGTGATCCTCCTGCCTCAACCTTCCAGAGTGCTATAAATTAGTTTTGCTTACATTTTTGAACATTATATATTAATGGAACCATAGTTTTCCTTTGTGTTTTGCTACTTTTATTCTACAGTAAGAGATTTCACTGTAGTTCATTCCTTTGCTTTGCTGTATAATTTTTCACACAGGAATATGCAGTTATTTATTGTCTATTTCATTGTTGATAGCATTTATTTTGTTTCCAGTTTTTGTCTTTTGAGAATAGTACTTCTAGTCTGGCATGGTGGCTCACACCTATAATCCCAGCACTCGGGAGGCAGGAGGATCGTTGAGAGTTCAAGACCAGCCTGGGCTACAAAGTGAGCTCAAGGCCAGCCTGGACTGCAGAGCGAGACCCTGTCTCAAAAAGACAAAAGACAAAAAACAACAACAACAAAAAGAGAATAGTGCTTCTAGAGTCTTTGGATCATTATACATTGAGTATATACCCAGGAATATACATGCTGGTTTACTGAGTTTGCATGTTTTTAGTGTGAGTAGATACCCTCAGTTTTCTAGTTGGTTATACCAACTCACACACTCACCAGTATTCAGCGAAAGTTCCCATTATTGCCTTTTCTGTCCAACAACTTGGTAGTATGTTTTAAATGCAGCCATTCTAGTGGGTACACCATGGAGTCTTGCAGTGGTTTTGATTTGCATTTTCCTGATGATTAATGGGAGTAGAAGACATTTTCACACGCTCATTGGCCATTTGATTTTCCTCTTTATTGTGTGCTTGTCTATATTTCTATATTTTTCATACAATTTTGGCATGCTGTATATGTCAGTTTTTTTTGCAAGTTGGAAAAAATTTTTCAACTTTAGGAGGAATTTAAACCTTGTGATTGTGACTTTCTTTCTTTTTTTTTTTTTTCTTTTGTAGCACCCAAATCCTTTCTTAGGTGAAATCCAAAGGAGAGCACTAACATGCAAAATAGGTCATAGCAAAGAAGTTTTTGTGGAAGGACAGATGAGAATCTCAGCTCCTTTCTCCTCTGTGACCCTTCATGGGGTCCACTGACCTTCAAAATACCTTTGAGGTATTTGCCTTATGCAAAAGTAACTCTGAAGAACAAGTTAAGATGTGGGCCAATAGAAAGCCTCACAGAAACTTCAAAAACATTTGCTAGCATGAAGTATAAAGATAACAAAAATAAAATGAAACTATAAAAGACATTTTCCCATCTTGAATTGGTTATAATGGGCATTATATTATTAATTCCCATTTAAGCTTTCTTCAATGCAGACTTTACAAGATCTCCTTTCCCATCATCATAAGATGCTTTCAAATGCTTTCAAATTTGTTTTGATTTATTGCAGAAAGTATGCACACCAAGAGGTTGTGTGTGTGTGTGCGTGTGTGTGTATGTGTGCGCGTTTGTGTTCAGACTTGCCTTTCATCCAAATGCTTGATGGTGTCCTGAATCCTGCTTTGGTCTCACAGATGCAAAAAGATTTCAACTGGAAAAATTCTGTGGTAAGCCTCACTTAACACAGAGGGGTAGACATTTTTTTTGTTTTGTTTTCAATCCTGAGCCCAACACTCCCCATACTCAGGAACATTTTACTAGCCACTTTACATCCACCTCATCTCCCTGTCTCATCAGAGCCTCAAGGGCCCTTTGGGGCTCCGGATTCCTCCTCCTCTTCTTTTATTTCTCCCAGAGCTTCATACCCAAACCTTTATTCCCTCACTACCATCTGCTTTACTTCCCTTTTCTTTTTCCCAATCTTCAGTTTCTTTTTTTCTAATTATCCTCATCAGGAGTGACTTGCAACCTGTAGATATAAGAATCTAAAAGATACAAGGAAGTAAATTTGCATGTCATGGAGTTTGAGAAAGGAACGAACACACACAAATAGAGAGGGATTATTGCAGACTTTCCAAAAGTGAGTCATCAATGGCAGAACCTGAGGTGATTTTAGACAGTTCTCTTGATTATTTTAAAATTTAAATAGTTGTACATTTAAGGGTATCGTTATGTGGCAAGATATCTTCCAATTGATAAAATGTCTCCTTAAATATTTAAGTTTAGAAAGCGGTTGTTCTCTGGAAAACTGAATAAGTGACATTTGGGAAATGATGGTTTATACTCGCTAAATCAAAACATTTTATTAGACGACTCTACTTTCCTATCAGACCTTGAAAAGCACAAGTGGTTACATAATATGTCTAACTCTATTCCCTTAGTGTAAACAGATACTAGAATTGGAAACACAGATAACAGTCTATAATAATGGTTTTCAAGCTATAGACCATGGATTCCTAAGGGTCCTCCAGAAGTCACTTTCAGTGTGTTCATGAAGTTGAAACTACTTTCATAAGAATAAAATATTATTTGCTTTTTAAAAGATATGTTGACACTCATGCTGTTGATGTAAAATCAAGGCTGGGTAAAGATGATTGTAAATTTCATGATTGTAAATTTCATTTTCATCATGATTGATGATGTAAAATCAAGGCTGGTGTCTTAGATGATTCCAAGCAGTGGTGTTAGATTGTTGACTATTTTACCACACTCACAAGCAAAAGAAAAGCCAGTGCCATCTAAAAATAACAAAGCAATAGGCATTATTAAGTGTGTGAAGTCTCAAACCTTTGCATCTCTGTCTATGTGATCAGATGCAAAATATAAATACAATATTCTTCTGTGTGCCAAGCGGAACGGTTGACTTGAGAAGACACATTTTGAACTCGCCAGGTCTTTTCATGGAATGCTGTTTTTATGTGGAAAAAAAAAAAAAAACAATTGAAGAATTACAGTTATTTAGCTTTTTTTCTTTTTTAAGTCCTGGGGATTAAACCTTGCTCTACTGAGCTATCCCTGTGGCCATTGAAATTTGGATGTTTGGTAGATATTTTTTCAGAAATGAATATAGTAGGCTTATTACTTTAAGAAAAATAACTGAGAGTTCTTAGAGCCACTGATAAAATTTATGTTCCCAAGTGAAAATTAGAATTTCATTGTTCTTGTTGTTTGTTTTTTTGGTACCAGGAATCGAACTCAGCACCTTGCACTGGCCAGGCAGGCGCTTGTGTCCTGAACTATATTCCCAGACCAGAATTTTGAAAACCTTGGCTTTTCTGCCATGACCTTGCATGCTTCTCAATACCTAAAGAGTCATCATGAGGTTAGTTGTAATATTTGCAAATGTGATTTTTTTTTTAGAATTTTATAACAGAATGTGTCAACACTAGGAAGATCTGTAAGTTTCAGTGAGCTGATTTTTTCCCCTGATGACCAAACGCATAATGTTAAAAATCATATATTGATAAAAGATTTATAGTGCGATATAGACCAATTGGCTTTAAGAGAATGGAGAAAAGTCATTAGAATGGTTTTAGAGTCCACATTCTGTAACCTTTAAGAAACTACATGGCCAAATTTTGACCCAGTGTCAAAAAAGTATTGAAAATTTCCAGAAAAGGCTATTAAAATATTTCTTTTTACAGTGACATATCTATGTGACTGTATAAAGCCAGATTTTCTTCACATACTTCAACCAAAAAAGCACATTATAAAGTTTTAGCACAGAAGCGGATCGGAGGGTCCAGCTGTCTTCTGTTAAGCCAGCGATGACAGAGATTTCTAAAAATATAAAACATTGTCATACTTCATTTCTCTTGTTTTAGAAAAACAAAATATTTTTATTTTTCCTAAAAGTACTTATGTTTGCACATGATATGTGTATTTTAAAGAGGCTAAAATATTTTTAGACTTTCTCAATTTTTGTCTCTAACCTGCACAACCTACCTAAAAAAGTTTTTAAGGTCCTCAATAATTTTGCAGATCATAAAAGGGTCCTATGACCAAAAGGTAGAAGAACTAGTAGCATGTAAGACAACCACTTGTCCTGTGATATCAAAACACTGCATTTCTCATCAGGTGACCTTGGACTAACCCTATGGGCTAAAGCACACCTGCATGTGTGTGTGTGTGTATGTGTGCACTATAGAGATAAACCAATGACACTGATTTCACCTTGCAAAAATTTTAGCAATAGGTGACTATTCCACTGCACAGGTTAACTCCAGCCTGCTCTAGAGAAATTTCTACTGCCTTGTTTTGTGAAATTGTAAAAGACTATTGGTAAAGTTAATGTTTGAGACAGAGACAAAGAGAACAAATGGTGATTCAGAAATTTGAAAATATGATAAAAAATATGGCTCCTCTTTCTTTCCAGATGCCTGTGGTGGACAGTCTCTGAGATGGCCCGCAGGGACTCTGCATCCCACCACTCCCACATCCACGCAGCCCCCTCCCTCTGCGTATGGGTAGGGATTAGTCAACAGAGTACAGTGAACGAGATTAGAGATCTGCTGAGATGAGATTACATAAAAGAGGTGATGTCACTTTCATTTGCCCTTTATTTCAAGCACTGACCTGTGTGAGATCCATGTGGAAAACAGTGGGCAGATTCTTGGCTAACAAACTATGAGAAACTGATTCATGTTAACCACCTTGTGCGTGAGCTTAGAAAGGATTTCCCTTCTCCAGAGCCTTTAGATGTTGAAAAATTTTTTGACTCACTGATACCTAAGCTGCTGCATCATGAGAAGCAGAGGAACCCAGTTGAGCCACACCTGGATTTCTGACAAATAGTAACTGGGAAATAATAAATGTTTGCTGTTTTCAGATGCTAAATTATGGGGTAATTTGTTACATAGCAATTGATAACTAATGCCTGTAAATATGAATATTCATATAAAACATGCATATAATTTCAAGAGGCTTTGAGACATCCTAAAGCCTGTTAATAAATAGTCTCTGGACCTTGTTTATAACCTCTTTTGTAGAAAACCTTAAAGGAAAGGACACTGAAGAAGAAAGAAGATATGAACAGCAGAGTGAGGAATGAAAGGGAAAGTCCATTATAATTAGAGTACAGATCATTAGATCAGGGAAGTAAAACAAGCACCCAGTGTTGTAATGAGAAGGAATTTTCACCAGAACTTTCTAAGAAGATCAATCCCTGAGGATAACAGATAATTTGATAAGGCAAACACTCTCATCATGAGATGAAATTTGGGTGAGTTTATAACCAAAGGATGAAATGATCTATGTTCTATGGGGATATAGGTGTATAGGAAAAGAATTTTCAATCTAGCCTTGGAGAAAGGGAGGAAAAGACTGAAAAACAAAGGAATTTGTATTAGTCAGATTTCTGTTACTATGACAAGATGCCCCAAAAAAAAAAAAAAAAAACAATTTAAAAGAGGAAAGATTTATTTTGGCTTATGTTTCAGAGGCTTCAGTCCATGGGGCTGGCTCCATTGCTCTGAGCTGGAGGTGAAGCAAAGCATCACAGTGGACAAGAAGGTGTGAGGAGGGAAGCTTCTTTCTTCATGGCAGCCAGGAAGCACAGACAGAGAAAGAGAGACAAAGCCATGGACAAGATATATTCTTCCGGGTCATGCCCCCAGTGATCTTACTCCAAGGAGTCTCAATCTCCTTCAGTTTCCATCATGTCCCAATGGCCTATCAAGTTATGATCCTATCAGCTAGTTAATCCATTGATGAGCTCAGAGCCTTCATGGTCCAATCACTCCCCAAAAGTCCTGCTTCAGAACATTGGTGCACCAAGCTGTTAACACATGAGCCATTGGATAACACTGTACATCCAAGCTGTATCAGAATCTAAAGGAGGGATCTGTGGATTTAAATATGTGCATATATCAGAAGGGCTCTTTTCATTGCAGAAGGTCTAGTATTGGCCAGTGCAATTTCAAAGTCCAGAGGTTGAGCTGACCTCAGGTATGGTTGGATCCAGGAATTTTTTAAATGACATCACTGGGTCTCCTTCTTGGTTTACCTTTTGGTTAACCCTGTTGGGTGGGCTGAGGAGTCTGGAAAGAGTGCCCCAGGCTTCATGAAACTAGAGAATGATGCTCAAAAACAGAGACTGCCTTCCCCTCAGTGTCCACATGTAAAATCCCGGGAAAGTCTCCTATGGCCTTTCTTGGGAGCCATTTTCTCCCTAGGTACCCAGCACTACTTGAATTGGCAGAAGATAATTACCCAGAGGAAAAAGGGGTGTTGTTGTCAGACAAGGAGAAACAATGTTGGGCAGATAATATGACATATGTCTCCAGTAGTGAGTGACAATAACCAGGGGCTGGGAAGATTGTTTAATATTTAAAGTTATGCCAACCTAATTCAATAACTGGAGACTTCACGCAGCTGTAGAGCGTTTGTCTCGGCAGTGCCTCATTACTGGAGGCTTGGGTTGTGTATATGAATTGACTTGGGATGATGGAGTCTAATGAAGAGAGTCAGGGGTAGGCTAGGAAAAGAGGTTTCGGAATGCAATTCACAGGCTCAGATTTTTAAGGAAACATTCAGTGCTTTCTCCTTGCATGTCAGCAGCTGTTTTCTTCCAGAACACAGAGTGGCTCACGGAGCCCATATCCATTTGAATAAAGAATGAACAACCGCTGTAGCAAAGCCACAACTGCCAGATGCTCTTGGATGTGACGTGGTTGAATTTCTACTGCTCCCGAGTCCCCAGGAGAGGACTTGGCTTCTCTGGGGACTCCCGATATTTTTGAAAGGGAGAATTCGGTTCCAAATGACAGATATTTAATTCCCAATCACACAGAGATGGTGCCATTATTCCATTGTGATAGTCTTAGGTAGTAAATAAAGAGTTATGATTAATTAAATTAAGAATTGTTGTGAAAAAAGTGACAGACATTTCAACCGAGACCAACAGAGGTAGGAGAGGGCCGTCATGCTCCCCAGGCTGCCTGCCAAAAAAGAGCCGTGGTGGGGTTTGGTTGGATACGGGAAGATGCTGAATAATAAGACAATGAATAATTGATGGGGACTATGACAAGTTTTCAACTTTGGTAAAAGTTTTTAAAATTTTAAGTATCACCACCATGACATATGAGAAATATAATTGCGTTGAAATTGCTTATTTTAAGAAATGAAAAGAGAATTTTTTTGGTGGTACTAAGGATTGAGCCCAGGATCTTTGCACTGAGCTACATCCTCAGCCCTTTTAATTAATTTATTAAGTAATTTTTATTTTGAGTCAGGGTCTCGCTAAGTCACCCAGGCTGGGCTTGAACTCACGATCCTTCTGCCTCAGGCTGCCCGTGATTACAGATGTGCACCCCCACGCCCCGCTGGAAATAATGAGTTTTAATTATAAAGATATGATCTTAATTGCATTCCTTGCTCCTGTTCTAAGGCCAGATCCTTCTGATGCCAGTCCCTTTGGTGAGTACGCTGCCTTTCACTTGATAGCTAAGGTGCACCATAAGGACATAGCATTTTACCGTACTCTTCATACCTGCGTGAAGCAAAAGCACAGAGTGTATCCCTCACCCACACTGGAGATATCTGACCACAATGCTTCCCACTTGATATGAGACGCATATAAGGTAGTAAAATTATCCTTTGCTTAAGCTGTTCCCTTTCTCCAACATCTATTCTCATATGCTAGGATTTTTAATTTTCACCAACAGTCTACCCAGAGCTGTATAGTTCATGAAGTAAATATTTTGAAATCGCTCATATTTGTTTTCTCTGCCCTGCCTTACATTTTCTATGCATGAAGATGCCCAAAATTATAAGAGGAAGAGGCCAGGGAAGTGAAGGAGATACTTTGTTCCCCTGATAACTATATTCTCAAAGCTAGAAATTACAGGAAAGATTTGCTTTGCATCTTCTGGACCATTTCCCCTGATTTCTGGAAACTACTGCTTTGGGGAATCAATACAATGTTGGCTTTTAGGAAGGAGGGTAAAAAAACTTTTGTGTGTCCCCAAAATACCCTTTTGGTGGCTTTTTTGTCAATAATGACTTTTTGAGTCATCTATGCCAAGCAGCAAGAGCATAAAAATGCCTAAGATGCATTTCCTGCTTTTCAGAATGGCATGGCTTATAAAACCAGAATTATAGGAAGAGACCAAGGGAAGTCAGCCAGTCATCTGTTGGCTGTCTAACTTCAGGGAGACATTGTCCTAAGTGCTCGCATGTAGGAGCTCAAGTCACACGATGACCTTGAATATTACTATTCGTATTTCAGAGCTTCAGAGGCATTAACTATTTAGCCAGGCCACACCACTAATATGTTGGGGATGTCAGATTCAAATCCAAATGGGGTCCTGTGCTAATTTTTGCTACATTGTACAGTACTCTTGTTTTCTCCAGCACTGGTCTGTGTGCTTGATAGCTAAATCCTAAGAATTTCATTTCTTTCTCCCTGCTTGTCTAAAGCTGATGACGCTAAGAGTCTAAAAACTGATCAATCCCTATAGGTTGTGAATCTTAACTCTCATAGGAATCTTTTGGGATTGGAATTCATTTAAAGCTGACTTTCTATTTTTGAAGAAAAAAAATTATAATGATAGCATGAGCACACATGTTGCTGGGTTTTAACAAAATATCTTTTTAAAGGAGATTATGGGAGATTGAAAGAGCTTGTTGGGTAATAAATAGCTTTTTACTGGGCAACATTCAGAAGCATTAAAGTATGAACAGTAAAGGACATAGGTGCTTGGGAATATTTTTAATATATTCCACCAATCTTAAATCACATCTGGATTTGCCCAGCATTATCAGTAAATCTTTATTGGAGCCCATATTATCCAGTAGTATCACATCCCTCAGAAGTCACATTATAGAAATTATCCCTAAATTGAGGTAGACACACTGATGCGGCACAATATTTTGAAATGTTTCAATAAAGCACTGTTTGATTTGACTATGGATTAATCAGCTATCAGTGTTAGCAAACACAAACCTGACATTCATTATTTAAACACACAGGAATAATTGTATGAATGCAGATATGTAGTAGGATGGGCAATTTCATGAATAATATATTAGTTAGTGAGCATTTAGTTTTATTTATTGTCCATGCCTAGGAGCATTTGTCTGGCTCTCTGGGACTGGCCCGCATGCAACACTGTGTGTCAATGAAAAGTGTGTCAAGGCTGCAGGATGGAGCCTGTGTTTGTTTAAGAAGGAGTTCGATGACATCATGTCGGTCTCACATTCCAGAAAGCTGGAGAGCATGTGAAACAACAGTCTCCCAGCCCACTTAATGCAGACCTGCTGCAGGGATTGCTTTCAAGGTGAACCAGGTTGGAAAATTCAAGGGTTGACTTGGGACACTATAGATTTTTCTGCTTCCCACATTGCTTTCAGTTGATTAGCCCCATACGTGGTATTTGATTAATGTCTGAAAGCTCTAATTAGCAATGTCTAATCGGCCCCACATACACCAGTCTATTGATTCTTGCCTCAAGAAAAGTAATCTAATTGTGCTCCTTATCATTAGCAAATGGTTGCCATCCTGAGATGATGCACCCACCTGTGTACTGGAAGGGTTACTTTGTTAGGAGGGCTTTGGAATGGGGCAGATGGGTTCTGAAGCTGCCTTCCAATGATATTAGGAAAGTACCTTCCCATGCTTTATGCCTTTGAGACTCTTTTGATACCCAGAGGGAGAAGAGCCGTAGATATTCAGAAGTTTTCTAAATTTTCCAGAAAGAGAAAAATAGACGTAGGCATCAAGTAAGTCATTTGGACCACAGAAAGGAAGAACATAAGGAAAGCCTGCTGCTGCCTGCTGCCTTTGGAAGAATTCTATTGATTTGTGCCTACCTTTCTGCTTCCCCCAGATGACGAATTGATAATACAATGATAGAGACATTTCCCCTCTGGTTCCCTGTGGTGGATTGACAACTGCTGGTCAAATTGTAACACCCAGCTGAACTTAACCAGCATGGTGCTGGATGTGGGCAGTCCACCTGAGGATTGTTGCCAGCAGCAGAAGAGACAGAACGGGAGAAGAAGGAGGAAGGCTGTCGGGAGCTGGTAGAAGCTGTAAGGAGCTGTTGGTTCTTTTGGAGGAGCTCATCATGCCGGCTTTCCTGATGAACTCAGCTGTTTTCATCCCCCGAGGAGCTCAGGCCTTGTTGACACTGAGAATAGCTTCTGTTCACTTTGGGGGAACTCTGGTCCTCACTTTGAGCAACCAGAGCAGAAGATGGTACACTGCTCTGTCTCCTGCAGGAGCTCGCTGCATTGGCTTTCCTCATGGGAACTCAACTGTCCTGATCATCAGAGGATCTTGAGACCTCACTGTTGCTGAGGATGGCTGTGGTACTTTTCGGGGAATCTTTGGTTCTTATTTTGAGCATCACTTCCTGGCTCCAGTGTAAATCCTTCAGCCTGCTGGCACAAATCCTTCATCCTGCTGGCACAAACCTCCTAGATTCCACCACTGACCTTTGGGCCTTCCCAGCGCAGATTTGTGAAACAGGCCTGCATGAGACATTGTTATGGGCTCCAGGTCTTCAGCTAAGCACATGCAGGACATTATCGTGGAATCCAGGCCCTCAGCTGGATTCTTTGGTCTTTAGTGTGTGGACAGATTTCCTGCACTCTCTTGTATATGATTCTTTGGGTCACTATTATAAATAATCTTATAAAATATGTGTCCTGTATTATATTGTTCTCCTTTGCAAAACCCCAAACCAAGACATTCCCTTTTCCATTTTCACTGTAATGCAAAACATTGCCCTAAAAAGATGCCAACACTAATAATATCGGCACGGCACTAAGTAATGTGCATAAAAAGAATATAACATATGAGATTTTATTTTCTTTTGTAAATTGCAAACTCATTTTTGGTGGCACTTTTAAAGCAAGGGCACTGTGTAGTGAGGATGGCCAATTTCATTTTTCTCTGTGTTACTTGTTCTGAAAAAACTGAAATCTAAAAATTTGATCGTTTGGAAAATTTCTTGGAAAAGACCCTAAGGGGCCATAAGTCCAGCCACAGAAGGATAGTGCAGATAGTGTGGTGATAGCCCTTCCTGCTTGATGCTATCTCCTAGTGAGAATTAGTTACTGATGAGCTTTGTGCCATCCGTCTTCCTGGCATTTACTCTTGTGAGAGCACTTATCAAACTTGGTTGTATTTATTTATATCTGTCTCTCTTATTAGGCTGAATGGCCCTTGTGGGCAGAACTCTATCTTATTCACTGGTGCAGACACTGATATGCTTGTTTTAAGTGCTTGTCACCAGTGATGAGGTCACATTTCCATTAATACTGTACATTACCATGGGTAGATGTGATGCCCCATACCATTGTTAACAGCCTTGATCCACTCCTGTTGTCCCTAGGCCTGTGTCTCACTGTTATGGTTTGTGTCTAAATGTCTCCCCAAAGCCTTATGTAGTCATGGGGCAGGCTTCTAGAGTTTATGATTGATTCATGGTCCAGTGCTGGGATTATGGGTGTGAGTGCTATACTCGCCCTAGGGCGGGTAGCCTGCATACAATATAAGGGAAGGAAAGAGCCTTGCTCTTTGCTGCTCCTCCCTTTTGCTCTTGCTGTCTTTGCTATTTTCTGCCACCACAAGCTGTTGTCCTGTGCCACATGCCACTCTGCCTTGGAGCCAGCTGAGTATAGACTGAAATCTCTACAAACTATGAGCCAAGATAAACTTTTCCTCACTTAATTTTGGGCATCGGGTATTTTGTCTCAGCAATGAGAGAAAAGTAACTAAGACACTCACGGCCAGCGTGCTCAGTTGAGGTTGAACCCGTGCCACTGGCTGTGTCTTCCTTTCATGAGAGTTTGCACTAAGTCCCTGCTCTTGTCTCCCAAGAGCCCAGGATCACCACTATCTTTGGGATAGTGCTGCTACCACCCTGCTGGAATATGGCATGAGCATCTAGTGAAGTAAGAGGAAAACCAAAAAGGTGGTAACTTAGCACCTAAGAGAGAAAGGGAGAGAGGAGAGGGGAGAGGAGAGAGGGGAGAGGGAATTTTCAAGAGCAATGTGGGATACTGAGTAAAGAATGGCTCTGCACTTCCTCTTTAGTCTTGCCCAAAGTAAAGTCCAAGTTCTCATTTCATATTCTGAGGCAGTAGCAATGGCCCCAGCGTGGTTAACACATCAGAG